GGTATAGTAAAGGGGGATGTCAGGTGATAGTTGCTATGCGTCAACTATCTAGAGTAATGTTGGAAACTTGGTAGGGGTTATGGTGGTTTAGGTAAGGGAATTAGATCAAGCGAGGAAGGAGAACAGGTTGTTGTAAGAAGCAAGAATATGACATGAGTCTGGTCTGTGAGAACGGAAACCACGAATATTCGAATGTAGGAGAGATATATCTTAGTTATTTTATGAGTGAAAGCGCCGGTACGTGTTGGGGAATCTGGGGGGGAAGGAGCTAGGGGGTGTTGTGACATGAGTGATTCCCGTGTGTATCCGGGAGTGAGTGGAAAGGATAGAGGGGATGGAAGGAGGGAGAATGTGCGTATAGTTGGAGTTGAAGGGGGTGGGTTGTGTTGGGAGGGAGTAGGAGGAAGTGGTGTGGGGGAATATTAGTGGTAGAGGATGGATATTGGAAGGATGGATAGTTGGAGTTGAAGGGGATGTGTTATTTTGGGAGGGATTAGGAGGAAGGAGTGTAGGGGTGCTATGAGTAGGAGGATGGGTATCGGGAGGATGGATATCGGTGGTGGACGGAATTGAGGGGGTTAGGTTGTGTTGAGAGGGAGTAGGAGGAAGGGGTGTAGGGGGAATATGAGTAGGAGGGGTATGGATATCGGCAGTCACTTCAAGTGTGGAGGGAGCATGAGTTTTTGTGTCTCAAGCATATAGCTGTGAATGTCTTCCATAGCTTCTACAGTGGAGTTGTTGAGAGTTTTGTGGGACAAAGGTTTTCTTATGAGGGGGGGAAGAGGAGACTGGTGTCTGAGGAGTAAAGGTAAAGGTAGTGGAGGGAGTGTACGGTAGGAGAAGAAGGGGTGGAACGTTTCGTCTGTCTACTGCGGTAGTGCGGGGGGAGAGGGATGGTATAGAGGCTGTAGTGAGATTGGAGCTGGGTTGAGATTGGGGTGTCTGGATTTAGAGTGGCAAAAGAATTTGACTGGGGGAGGTTGAATGTAGAAGTGGAAGTGGTGGAAGTGGGGAAGTAGGTATAGGGAAGGGTGTAGGAACATCTTGAGGTGGAGGGGGAGGGGCAGAGCGAGCGACATTACTGGAGTAGGGAGTATAAGAGAAACCTTGTCGGCGTGCTTCCTGTCTTGCTTCACGTAGTGAAACCATTTTTGCATCTGAGAGCTGCTACCTCAGACACGAACTTGTAAGTGGGACAGCCTCTCAAAAATACATTAAGGGGGCTGCCGCAGTTAACACATGTGCGTGTTTGTGCATAGGGTGCATCGGACTGTGGAATGGAAGTATTTGGCAGGATGTCCAAATTGCCAACAATTTTGACATTGGCAGGGAGGAGGTTGGTATGGTTGAACAGGGAGGGATTGTCCACCAATGTAGATACGAATGGGAAGGTCATGTGTACTGAAAGTAATTTTGGCAATATTAGTTGGTTTCTTTCGATGACCTCTAAGAATAATGGAATAGCAATGTATTGGTATCACATCCTGGTCTTTGAGGCAGCCGAGCAAGTCTCCACAATCTGACCAATCTTTGGTATCGACTGGGCAGTTTGCTGGGGAGATAGAGACAGTTCTGGTACAAGTATTAAGAGTTGGATGAGGTTCTGCAGGGATGGTGTTGCCAGAGAGATCAGTTAGTTTTGATAATGCCACAGCTTCAGATCTGACTGTTACGAGACGGGAGCGATTGCGTCGGGTACGGAAAGGGACTCTGCCTACATGTTTTTGGAGACATTGTTGAAAGAGGAGAGTATTACCTGAGTAAGAAGCTGTAGGGGGATCACGAAAAATCGGTCCCATTTAGCTGGGCTAAGTAGAGTAGTTAAGATATATGTAGGGTTGGCGGTGTGAAAGCGTGTGTTGTTGAGGGGGTAGTATTACGGAGAGATGGAGAATAAGGCTGTAAGGTAGTAATGAGGGAGGTTGGTGAAGAAGGTTGTAGGGGTAGAGTTGATGAATTTGAGGAAGTTGGGAGTCTCTGCTTGGATGGGTAATGCACTAGTAGGCATTGAGGCGTGGGTAGTTGTGTTCATAGTCGTGGTCAAAGGAGAGCCTGGGGTCGGGGGGAGCCAGTGGGGCTATTTGATGAAGGAGCAAGCCTCATTGCCCCTAATGGGGGTATTATATCTTCATTACTGGCCATGGGAAGCCTTGATTATGTAAAGGGAAATAAACATTCCACCCCCCGCCCCAGTACCCTGTACGGGGGTAAGGGCTAGAAAACTAAATCAGGGGAGTACCGTGCTCATGGTTCCCGCAGACTGTTCAGGACTGGCACAAGGTCATCCTTTCATCCTTTCAGCATGGTTCTTACACCTTAGGAAGTAAATAGTAGAAGGGGTTGGAGAAGGAACGGAAACAAAAAGTTGGAGGAGGAAAAGACCATGCAAAATTAGTTGAGTCGAGGGCTGAGGCCCTAGACAGGGGAGATCCCTGCATTGGGTCTCAGTCTCCATCTCCTAAGCCCCCCACGAAAACACCGGGCACAGGATTGGGGGGGGGGGGTTGTTGGGATAGAGGTGATGAAGTTGTGAAAGTTGGGAGAGTAGGCATGTCTTCTGGAGACAGTCTCGGCTTAGGTGGGCAATTGAGGAGTGGGTAGTAGTTTCAGTGTTGAGAGTCGTGGTCAAAGGAGAGCCTAGGGTTGGGGAGCCGGTAGTGTCTAAATTGGTGGGGCTATTTAATGAAGGGGCAAGCTTCATTGCCTCTAATATGGGTATTACATCATTACTGGCCATGGGAAGCCTGGACTATGTTGGGGAAATATGCAGTCCACCTTTCAGGGTCCCCTTGAGGGGTAAGGGCGAGACAACTAAATCATGGGAATACCGTGTCCATGGTTCCCGCAGGCCGTTCAAGACTGGCACAAGGTAAGCCTTTCATCCATTCACCACGGATCTTACACCTTAAGAAATAGATAGTAGAAGGGGTTGGAGAAGGGACGGAAACGAAAAAGTAGGAGGGAGAAAAGACAATGCAAAATTAGTTGAGTCGAGGTCTGAGGCCCAAGGCAAGGGAGATCCCTGCATTGAGAGTCAGTCTCCATCTCCTAAGCCCCCCACAACAACAACGGGCAAAGGATTGGGGGGGGGGAGGTGGTGAAGTATCAGTAAGAATGTCTGGAGGGGAAAGGTCTGGAGGACACTATTGTCCTGATTCGTGTGTTCAGGTGGGAGCAGTAGAGGGTCAGGTATGTTGGGAGGGTGTAGGAGGAAGGGGGTGGGGGAACTAGAGGAGGAGGAGGATGGATATCTGCAAATACTTAAAATGTAGGCGAAGGAACAGAGAGATTGGAGGGTGGATGAGGGAGCAGAGCATTCCTTTGGGTCATGTTTGGTTCTCTTATGAGAAGAGGGGGATAGATATCTGAAAAGCAGAAGAAGAGGAAGGTGTAGGAGAGGAAGTAGCAGGAGAGGGTGGAGTGGAACGTTTAGGTTGCCTGGTACTGCAAATAAAGTTGGGAGGAGGGGTAGGTACTGGGGAAGTGGTAGAGATTGGAGTATCTGGATTTAGACTGGAAAACGAATTTGACTGGGGGATAGGGTGAGTAGAGGTAGGATGGTTTAGGGTATAGGGAAGAGATACTGGGGGAGATGCAGACACATCTTGTGAAGATGGGGGGGGGGACTGTTTTGGAATAAGTTGAGAGAGAAAACCATGTTGTCGTACTTCTTGTCTGGCCTCATGTAGAGTGAGGGTTAGTTTCAATCTGAGGACTGCTAACATTTGAGCTTATAGGCATGGCAGCTCCTGTAAAATACATTACAGGAGTCTCCACAACTGGCACATATATGTGACCTAGAAGGGCAATGTGAACGGTCATGACCAGGTTGGGCACACAGAGGGCAGCAGGCTGTGGAGCGACAGTGTTTGGCTGGGAGGCCAAAACACTAACATTTCTGATATTGATGAGGAAGGGGTCGATATGATCGGACGTGATAGGATAATCATTCAATATAAACTTCATGGGGGAGGTCATGCCTGCGGAAGCTAATCTTGGCAAGATTGACATGGGATTTACACTGGCTTCTGGGATGAATTGTGCAACACTGTACTGCCACTGCATCATAATTAGCAAGGCAGGTAAATAGGTAATTTTCACAGTCTGACCAGCCCTTGTTTGACAGGACAAGCATTTGGGGGGGATAGAAACAGTTACAGTATTAAGAAAGGGGTGATGTTTGGCAGGAATGTGTTTGCCATTGAGGTCAGTTAGGGTAGATAGTGCATGACCTTGGGATTCAGATGTAACTGTGACAAAGCATGAATGATCGGAGCGACCGCAAAAGCTAACCTTGCCTATTTGTTTTTGGAGGCACTGCTGAAAGAGAAGGGTAATCTCAGAATAGGGGGCTGTGGGGGGAATCACAAAGAATCAAGGGTGAGAGGAAGATGGGGTGGTGTGCAGTGGAGTAGTTCTCTGGTGGGGAGGACAATAAGGATGAAGAGTAGTAATAAGGGAAGAGGGGGTAGACATTGAAGAGGAGATGGAGAGCACTGGAGAGAGGAAGGGGAGCTTTCTGGAGGTTGAGTATAAGGTAAGCTTTAATGCCCCTATTAAGAGTAAAGAATCTTCATTATTGGCCATGGTGAGCCTGAATAAAATGTGGAAAAGAGACGGTCTACCTCTCAGGGTCACCATAACCAAGAGAACACTGTGCCCATGTCTCCCGGAAGGTGTTCATGAATGACGCAAAGCCAGGCTTTCATCCTTTAAGCACAGCTCTCACACTTTAGGAATGGGACAGAAGGGGATGAAGAAGATACAGAAGAGGAAAGGGGAGAAGAAAAGATCATGCAAAATTATTGTGGCGAGGGCTAAGGCCCAACGTAGGGGTGATCCCCTACCTTGGGCCTTAGTCTTCATTGCCTAAGCCCTCCTATTACAACAAAAAACAAGGTATTGGGAAGGAGTATAAGGTGAAAACATGTCATTTGTACATATCGCATAAATAAATTTCTAGAATTATTCCTTCTCTTGGTAGGGATATTTGGTGCTCATTAATTAATCAAATATTTTATTTGGGTAGTAAAACATTTTTTCGGTCAACTATTTTACATTTAGAATTCTAGGAATTTGATCTCTTTTCAACCAGGACGAGATAAGATTCCATGCCTGAGTGTTGTAGCTGCAATCACATGATATATAATGCTATGAAGCAATCACATGAGAGTCTGTCTCCATATATTCCAGTAACTTTCTTATCTCAAGTCTTGGATCCTTGTCAGCAAGCTTTGGGCACTGTAAAAGGGGAAACAATATTGTTGATACACTTTTTATTTCTGCAATAACAGTAAGTAGTGCTATGAGATCTAGATAGATATCAGCATTATCATAATATAATTATTTTTGTTAGGATATGTACATACATGCACAGCCTGCTTTGGTTACAGTATTATAAAACTGCCAGTGTGAATGCAGTATTTAAAATCACTTTAAATAATTATTCCATATTAACAAAATCTAATCTGGTAAAAGCTGTTCAAAAGTGGATAGAAAAACAAAAAGAATGGGACAATTAATTATAACATATGGATTACACTACTAACCTGATAATAAAACCAAATCAGTTTTATAATCCAATGATATATAGTCCAGTTTGGATCAAAACACCACAATTAATTGTTCCCTTTTTCAATACTAATCTTACACATATATCCATATATATATATATAAATATATATATA